TCCCACATCCACTGCCACTTGAACCTCAATGGAACCCAAGATTCTAAACTGGATGCTTGATATAGCAGCGGCTTCCGAGGTTTCCCTGGTTTCTGTGGATACCAAGCTAACCCATTGCTTCTAACATTCTGAGTAGCCTGAAAATAGATGTTGACTGTCTCTGCCATGTTGGCAGACATCAGGTTTGGACACTTCGTAAATTGGTTAGCACTTCTAGCACCGGAAATGGGAATCATAAACACAAACAGCCTCTCTCATCGTCATGTTACATAGCAGAAAGAGAAAAGGTCAGGCAGATCTAACAACACTGGCAGTTCTTGGTGTTGTCCTTCCTCACCTAGGAGCCAGAGCAGCAGGAGCCCCAGGAGCTGATCAGGGGCCTCATGTCCATGCTGTGTCCTGACTGGCACTGACTCCTCTAAAGGGTGTCAGCAGCATGATAATAATTCTGCATGGCAGTGGGCTGTGCCCTGGGGACGTGCAAATCAGTAGCAGTGTCCCACAGGTCGACCCCCATTTCAGGTCTGTCTTAAATGAGTTGATTGGCAGATGTGAAATGTCTCCAGGGAACCATGTAATACCCAGAGGCACAGGCACAGGGCGACAATATAGGAAAACATGCATAGTATCACTGTGGGAGTGTAACTAGTACTACTACCACTTCCATAAGCTCCTTGACAGTATCAGGTTCCTGAATCTGCAGTCACCACCCCGCTGATGGTGAGAGTGAATGATGTCCCAGATCAGGATCTTTCAGGGATCCCAGATGCTAAAGTGGATGTACCCCAGATCAGGAGCTTTGGAGGTTGCCCTTGTTTCTGCTGAAACCAGGCTAGAGCATTTTTGAGGTATACACTCTGACTTGACTGGCAATTGATGGTGGCTGTGCCTCTCACAGGTGCAGACTCCACCTGTGGCCTCTGGGTCACCTGAGCGCTGCACATCTGGCACCAGAGAAGAGAAGCACAAACACAAACATCCCTCTGGTCATCATGTTCATACAGAAGACAGGATCATTTACACAGTACTGACCAAAAGACCTGAGTCAGTTCCTGATGTTGTCTTTCCTTACCAAGGTGCCAGAGCAGCAGGAGGACCAGGAGCTAAGCTGGAGCCCTCATGTCCATGCTCTGTCCAGAGAAAGGTATAGACAATGGATTCATCTGCTTTCCCCAGATACTGGAATCCTTCCACCGTAAACTAACATGTAAACATAATCAAAATTAAATTTTTCTCATGGGGAGTTAAGATCCTCCTCTCTGGCTCTCCTCCTTTCCATGGGTCTGACTTGAAAATAATATTAAAGAAAACTTTAAGAATAGTTAGTAACGTTGAGAACCCATATATTATCTCTTCTTTTCTTTAAACTAGTAGAAACATGGAGATTTCAATGCTGTAGTTAGGAGGAAAGAGAGGGAAGTTACAAATGAGTCCAGAAGGCTTTCTCACTCCCTTCCAGGGACCAACAAAGGCTGACGACATAATGATTGTCAGCAGAAACAAGCCCCAGGACAAGGACTTAGGACAGCCCAAACTCATACTTTTGTTTTCCTAAGTGGATTTTCTGTAATATTTTACTAATACTAGGATAATAAAACACTTGACACATCCTCAGACTCCACACCTGATGGTGAGAGTGATGATGTCCCTTAAACCTGGATGGGATCCCGATGCTAAACTGGATGTAAAGTAGATGAGGTTCTATGGAGGTTGTACAGGTTTCTTCTGATAACCTGCCAGATGATTGTTGTTGAAAGCACTCAGGTTTTTTTTTTTTTACCTGGTCTTTTCTAAAATTACATCTGATTCTATAACACAGTTTCCTAGGCTCTGGGATTCCCCCAACCTTTCCCTGTATCCTCTCCCCATGGTGGATTTCTCCACCTAGTTGCAGTATAACAGTTCAAATCCAATCCTCATTCTTTCATTGTAAGCCTATGCTTTGCATAGTGTCCAGCATCTTATTGTCCAGATAAGTTTGACAGTTTCTCGGGCAGACCATATCTGGTCTGAGGGCAGAGCTGGCAGAATATCATCCCAACCAATTAAAGTCACAACATAATATCAACAACTGTTTACAACTTATGGAGTTAAATGACATTGTATTGAGTGACCAATATGTTAGAAAATGCAAGTTCTTAAACACATCCTGAGATTATTTCATTGACATTTCAATTTTAGTTTGTACACAACTGGCTGCTACACAACTTAAAATGGCTGAAGAGTACTATTCAGCTGTCTGGTATCTATTTTCATTTTGCTATTTAGTAGTTTCTAGTGTTGAAGCATAATGTTTACTGAACTAATGATGTAATTGCATCATGAAACCTTCAATAATGCACCTGAGCCACCTGAATACTTCTAAAGAACAAGAAAACTTACATTTCCCAGTTACACATTCTAACATATTACTGACGCATTGAATGGTCACTGTCCGTTTTTCATGGCAGGTGCCTGCGTAGATACTGGGAAGGGGAAGACCCAGTCTCCAAATGCCTGACTGTGTCTGCAGGAGAGAAGGTCACCATCAACTATAAATCCCCCAAGAGCCTTTGAAGCAGTCTCTTCTGTAAGAACTACCCTGGCATGTGCTGAAAACTGGACAAGCTCCTAATCTGCTCATCTATTGACCAGCCATTCAAGCGACAGTTGTCCAGGAAAGATTCTGAGGAACAAGTCCAGGGCAGATTTCATGCTCACCATCAGCTGCCTCGAGGCCGAGGACATGGGAGGTTACTCCTGTGGGCAGCATGAGACCAGTCCTCTCACAGGGATACAGCCTCCTACACAAACCTGCTCTCCAGAGGCCAGGGTTGATTGAGCTCCTGCTCTCCCAGCTGTTTCCTTCCTGCCCTACTGGGTCCCTCCCTTGTCCCTAGAACAGATCCCATTTTCTGCTTCACTCTGGAATATGTGCTAGTAACCAGGGAAGACTCAGTGTATTGCAGCAACCTGTCCTGAGTCCTTTAATCCAAGAAGCCAGGACATGAAGACCCTGTTTATGATCTATCATGAGCCTTTCTCTTCCTTAGTCAGAGTTCGCTTTGTAAGATGAGTGCTAACCACAGAACCAGTGACAGCCTCACCTGCCTGTTAGGAACAGTTTTCAGGGATGGAGCAGCTGCCTCTCCCTTGTGTCTACTTACAGAGAACCTTCCCATTTCCCTCCTTGAGTGAGTCACCTCACTACTCACCTTACTCTCCCTCTGGTGCATCACCAAATTTAATCCTCAGCACTAGACTTTTAAGCACTTATCCCTTACTAATCTGCTCTCCAGTCAGCCTCTTCTCCCTCTCTTCTGATCTGACTTTGCATTCTTTACCTGATGCTCTTGATTTCAAAACAGGAAACAAAGATTTGGATCCCATGAATGCTACTTTAAATGCGAGAAGGATTTCAGCAGATTCATTTCTAATGACTCTACTCTACATATTATTATGAATCATTTCACAGACAGTAATGTTATATAACATAATGTAATCCTCCTATCCATAGAATGCTGAGTCATTGGTAGGGAGGAGGCATATCATCGGAGAATGATGCTGAAGTGAGTGGAGAAATGGCCAACAGTGCAGGACACATGGGGCATTCTGAAGCTGTAAGAACATGGGACTTGATCTCCCCACTCTGGAGCTGCCAGAAGGAGCACAGCCTGGCTTCCTCCTGGGTTTCATCCCATGAAATTCTCTGACCTCTTGAACTTATGTTATCCAGTTTGACAACATAAACTCTACCATAATTTATAAATGATACTTACCAGCCCAACAAAGCAACTAATTTCTTCTCCCCTCTGCCTTCCACCTCCCCGCCACATAAATTACTGAACCTTGAAAAACTAACAATTTGTTCTCATTTGGTGTCAGGTTGGCAGAAGTAGACAATATTTGATAGTAAGATGTAGCCCAAATTGTGATTAGATGGAATACCTATTTAATTGCTTTTAGTGAATCAAATGTTTGAAAGCATAGGGTTAGCTATCAAAAAGTCTGAGTGAAGAAAAGGTTTGATTGATCAATTCTCTGATTGCATTCTAGTAGTAGAAAATAAGAATGCAGAGAATGTGAGAAAACAGACCTGAGTTTGAAGGATGCGAAAGGACAGAGCAGATGAGGAAAGGGGAAGGTTGTGAGCTGCTTCCTTCCCCAGAAATCTGAAATGAACTCACTTGCATGTTCTGTAGCTTTTGAGAGAGTTGAGTGTAGCAGTAATAATTGCAGAGAGGGATGGATATAAAATATGGAGAAGTGTATAGTTAAACAGGTCAGCGTGAACACTGGATTTCACATCACCCTTGTTTTCATGTGCAATGTTTGTAGTTACAGCGTCAAACATGGTGTGAACATGGCCATGTGAAAGAAGATATTTAAACAAATATATTTCTGATTAAAGTTGCAGTTCCCAAATCAAAATAGGTCTCAGGGCAAACAACCCAATGTGCCCTGAGAGTGGCATATCAGATGACAATTTCTGGAACATTCATCTGCACCTGCAGGATGACCCAGGGATGAAGCACTGGATAACCACCTGTGAGGCCATATGCAATAAAACCATCAGCTCCAGGGCTGAGAACCACAGGGTGAGCAGCCTGTTCCTTCTGTGCGAAGAAGCATTGGATCCCTGGAGAGCACAGAATTCCAAGTTTAAAGATCACCATCCATGATCCCCCATTCCAGGAACATGAAAGTATAATTTGGATTTCAATACACTCTATTTCAAGTTTCAGGCTGAAATATCCCTAATACGTCTTTTTACTGAATGATTCAAAAAGGATATTATAAGAATGAATATTCAGGCATAATCACTTTGTTCGTTTAAATCAGTACTGTACTGGAAATGCCAAGTAAATTTAAATGAGAAGGGCTACAGAGTAGTACAAGGCCATTTCTGACAACCTTATAGGAACCATGGAAGGCTGGCCACAATAGAGTATGACTATTGGTAGATTTGGGCACCAGGAGAACCTAGACCAGCTCAGGTTCTCACTTCTGCTTTCCTGGGAGGTTTTTGTTCAGGCTTATATCACTGTGTAAGTGTAACTACCACTAGTATAATATTCCCCATAACAGTAGTAGATTCCTGCATCCTCAGCCTGCACCCCGCTGATGGTGAGAGTGAATGATGTCCCAGAGCCACTGCCCTTGAACCTCGAAGGGACCCCAGAGGCTAAACTGGATGCCAGATAGATCAGGAGCTTTGGATGTTGCCCTGGTTTCTGCTGATACCAGGATAGATACTTGTTGCTGTTAACACTCGGACTTGACTGGCAATTGATTGTGGCTGTGCCTCCCACAGGTGCAGACACCACGGATGGACTCTGGGTTACTGTTTGGCCGGAACATCTGGCACCTGAGAAGAGAAATACAAACACAAACATCCACTCTCATCAGCATGTTCATACAGAAGAAACAGCAAGATTCAGTCAGCACTGACAACAAGAGCTGAGACAATTCCTGCTGTTGTCCTTCCTCACCTAGGAGCCAGAGCAGCAGGAGGCCCAGGAGCTGAGCAGGAGCCCTCATGTCCATGCTGTGTCCTGACAGGCACTGACTCCTGCACAGGCTGTGAGCACCTGCTCATAAATGTGCAGGGCTAGGGGCTGTGCCCTGGGGACATGCAAATCAGCAGGGAAGTGATATCATTGTGCAAAGGGAAGAGCTCAGCTCATCTCATAACTCAACATAGGAGAACCATCTCCAGTCTCTGAGCTGTGCTAATTTACCTGCAGATCCGATGATCATCTCTGACACATACTATGAGAAGCAAAGCATGTACGGATCTGTTGATAATTTAATGATATCAACAATAAGATGATGTCATCTATTTGTATTTCATGCCTGTTTTTCAATTTACAAGAGAGTAAATTATTGTTGCAGAATGTATAGCATCATTCTATACAGTAACTCCATTTCTCCTCTTCCTGACTTCTAATTCTTCCCATGCTTTTCCTATCACTTCTATATTTCTGGTTGTCTGAAATTATTTCATTTATGCTGCTTGGAAAAGATGAAAAGAGGGATTCATACATGTATATCTAGGCTCCATGAATTAATAACCATCCAACATTGTTGTTTCTGAATACTCAGATTCAATATACTGTAGATTATGAACATTGCCATAACAGGGTGTTTTATGCCAGGAGACTAAGTGGCTTCTCCTTTCTTGACATGAGAGCCTCTGCAATACAATTTTATGTCATTGGCTGTCATTTTCTGAACTTCATTAACATGAAATTTTGACTACTTATGTGAAATGCCATATATGCATTGATCATCAATGTTTACATTCATCTGTATGAACCTGGAATAGGATCCACAAGACCCTTTGGATGAGTTCTTTGTCTGCAGCAGACAAAGGAACCCCATCTAGAATCTCCTGTTTAGATTATCTTAGCTGCCGTATCTACCACTGCGGCTCAGTGACCATGTCTTCATCCTGGTGTGTGGATGCTTTCTGAGGAGGTAGCCCATCAGAAAAACCCTCTTATTTAAAAATTCTCTCTTAGATGAGGGCATCTGCTGCTGGGTGCCAGTCCACATCACACACTGCACTGTACTTCTTCATTTTCTCTTTATCAGGGCCAGTACAGTGTGGAAACTCTTCCCTTCTCCCCACCCAGAATGATTCACCTTGTCATGCTAGTTCCAATAACATAGAGTATATCTTGCATTGCAATAAACTTGGACCCCAATTTGCATCCCTGAATCTCACATCACTATCTGTGCCCCTGACACAGTCTGCATCACTAGAGTGTGACAAAAATGTCACTACCTAAGTTCCAAGGAATCTATAAACCAGGTAGAAAGTGGGTATTGCTGAAGTTGAGCACAGCGGACAAGATCACTTGGGCAGCCTCTTCACAAGCCTCCTGATGCCCTGGGGTTTGATGTCTCAGGGCACCTACTAACAAAGAACAGACCAGGGACTCCTAGCAGCATACTGCCATTCCAGACACAATCAATGCTCACATCTGTCAAGGAGGAGGGTAGCAGGACCAACCCATCTTTCCCCTTCACTGTTCCTCTGCTGACTCTCTCCACTTCTTCCTAGGCTGCACTGAGCTCTCTGTTCTTGGGAGCCAACCCAACCTGCACACATGCAGCTAAGAGGGCCTGGATCAGAAACCCTTAGGGAACCATCTGTGTATGACAGCAGGAGGAGGTACTAACACCTCAGCTTCCTCATCTCTCAGTGAGTCAATTCTGAGGCTTTTTCCTACATTCCATGAAGACTAACATCTCCTTATCTTTTGCTACAAGTGACTTTCCTAGGAGAATTTCTTCTCTTCTTTTCTCTTTGTCACTGCTGATCTGAACCAATATCAGGGTGCTGTCAATACTGACTATTATCAGGTTTGCATTACCTCGATTCATGTCACTTCTCCACTCTAAGTGAAGAGAGATTTTGAAAACTAAGAAAACTGGAATGGCTGTTCTCTATCTGTAATTGTGCTGAACCAGGACTTCAATATTACCTGCAAAACCAATGCAGCTTTATGCCTATAGTGTAAAATAGGAAGACTCCATGAAAAACAGCAAATAGATGTCACACGGCATCAGTCACTTACTCAAAAGTTGCTCTTTTGTTGGTCAGCCACTCAAGAAAATGGAGTCCTCACAGACTCAGGTGAAATGTTCAGGGACAGATTTGACTCTCACCATCAGCAGCCTCCAGGATGAAGAGGTAGAAAATTATTCCTGTGGGCAGCATGAGAGCAGTCCTTTCACAGGGATTCAGCTTCCAACACAAACCTCCTCTCCAAGACCACAAGGGAGTGAGCTGCTGCTGTCCCAGCTGCTTCCTCCTGCCCTGATGTCTCTCCCTTCTCTGTACAACACACCCTATATTCTGCTTCACTGTAGAGTTTGTACTACCAAGGGAAGTCTGAGTGGAAAATCCTGACTGAGTTTTTTGCACAAGCAAGCCCTGCCAGAAAAGGACTGGAAGAATGATGAGCTTTTCAATCTTCATTGAAAGCTTGCTTTGGCCTCTCAGTGTCTCTGTTTTCTGTAAGATGGCCTAAAGCAGTGAACAAAAGAAAACCTGACCTGCATTGTGCAGAAAAATTCTGGGATGGAGCAGCTGCCTCTCCCATGTGCCTGCTGACACTGAACCTTTCCATTTCCTTCCTTGATTGACTCACCTGTTTCTCCCTCTCTCTGTCTCTCACTCTCTTTCTCTCTCTGTCTCTCACTCTGTCTTCCTCTTAGTGCATCACCAGAGCTAATCCTCAGCACTGAGTTTGCAAGTGCTTTTCCTTCTTTTACATTTCCAATCAGCTTCTTCTCTCTGGATATTGTCAAGGATTATTTGTCTAAGAGTAATATATCATACTATCATATAATCATCCATAAAAGAGAAAAGTGGCTCTATTTCAGAAAGTGGGTGTGACAATTGAGAAGACTGCCAGAGCGAGAGATGGAGGGGCCACAGAGCAGGACATGTGGGCATCCTGAAGCTGCAAGAGCAGGGACTTGGATCCTCCCCTCTGGAGCTGCCAGAAGGAGCACAGCCCTGCTGCCTCCTCGGTGTCATCACATCGAGGCCTCCGACCTCCTGAACTGGGATGACAGCACAGTGTAAAATCTGAAATAATAAACAGTACAGTAATTTACAAATAATATTTCAGCTAATTCAAAACAATAGTTTCACCCCCCTTCATCTGCAGCAATTGAATGACCTCTGAGAACTTCCAGTGTCACGTTGTTCTAATTCAGTGACAGTTTGGCAGAATTAGACAATAGTTGATGCTAAGGTAGAGGAACACATTCCTCCCAGAGGAAAAATGTCTTCAGTGAACTATCTTAGTGACCTCTTGTTAACCAGGTGTGTGAAAACCTAGAGCTCAACTATCAAAGTGTGAGTGAAAGAAGAGGTTCTGATTTGTTTGTGTCTCTGCTTCCATATTAGCAGGAGAAAATAAGATTATAGAGAATGTGAGAGAACAGAACTTGTCCGAGGGATGAGAAGGGACAGAGCAGATGAGGAAAGGGTCAGGGATGTGAGATGCTTCTCTCCCTACAAATCTGAGTGTTATCACCTGTGTTGCCTGTGACATGTTTGAGACAGTTGTATGTGGCAGGTTAAATTGTAGTGCAGACTATGTTGAAGACCTACATCAACATGGAGTCAAGCAGGTTAGTGTGATTCCTGGATTTCACATCACCATGGCTTTCTCTTCCCTTGCCTGTAGTTTCAGCTTCAAGTATGGAGTGAACATGGACATGCGGAAGTCAATATCTAAATGTATTCACCTGAGTTAAAATTGCGTTTCCTAGTTCATCATGGCTCGTGATGCAATTAATCAACCTGCTCTGAGATTTTAATATCAGAAGACAAGTTCTGAAAATCCATCAGCACCTGCAGGCAGAACCAGTAATGAAGGACTGAGGATGCAGGCAACTAAGAGCATCAGCTCCAGGGATGAGGACCACAGAGTCAGGAGCCTGTTCCTTCTCTCTGAGAGGCATTGGATTCAGAGAGAATACAGAACCCAGTGTTGCACATTCCCAGAAATGAAAGTATAATTTGGAACATAATGTACTCCATTTAATGTTTCTGCTTGAAAGGTACATACCAATTCTTTTTTACTGTGTGAATCAAAGGTATAATGTGACATTGAGTACTCAGGTATAATCACCTCTTTCTTTTAAATGAGTAAAATCATGGACATTTCTGAGATGCTGGTGTCACAAAGGAAAAAAAAAAGGAATAAGGGACACTACAAGGGAGTCCCACTGACCTATCTACCCTCCAGGGACCATGGAAGACTTACTGCATCAGAGAATAGCTTGATGATAGAAGCCCCAGCAGCAGCAGAAGCAGCTGGGGAAGCCCAAAATCACAACTTTGCTTTCCTGGGAGGTTATGTTCAGGATTGTATCACTGTTGTATTAGTATCAATACTACCACTATAAACTCCAGCACTGTAGTAGGTTTCTGTATCTGCTGATGGTGAGAGTGAATGATGTCCCAGATCCACTGTCCTTGAACCTGTCAGGGACCCCAGACTCTAAAGTGGATGCATAATAGATCAGGAGCTTTGGAGGCTGCCCTGGTTTCTGCTGAAACTGGCAATTGATGGTGACTGTGCCTCCCACAGGTGCAGACACCACGGATGGACTCTGAGTCAGCTGTGCGGCACATTTGGCACCTGAGAAGAGAAACACAAACACAAACATCCACTCTCATTATCATGTTCATACAGAAGAGACAGGAAGACTCAGTCAGCAATGAGCACAAGAGTGTAATCAATTTCCTCTGTTGTTCTTCCTCACCTAGGAGCCAGAGCAGCAGGAGGCCCAGGAGCTGAGCAGGTGCCCTCATGTCCATGCTGTGTCCTGACAGGCACTGACTCCTGCACAGGCTGTGAGAACCTGTTAATAATTATGCAGGGCAATGGGCTGTGCCCTGGGGACATGCATATCAGCAGTGGACATGATATCACTTTGCAAAGCAGAAGAGCCCAGATCATCTCCTAACTGAGCACAGGGGAAATGTCTGCTGACACTCACATCACCCCTTGGGCTGCACTAAATTAGCTGTGGAACAATACTCTTTGACAAGCTGTG